AAACTGGAGAATAAATAACCAATATGCAGCTATGGACATTTTTACAGTAATGGACATTTCCTCACTTTCTAAAAAAAACCCGGGACGCCCTGGACAGGACGTGAAATACGGATATGTCCCGGGAAATACGGACGTTTGGTCACCCTATGAAACCGGTTTCTCCTTGCCATTCATCTGATCCACCTGTTCCTGCTTCTATTTAACCAGCCATCTAACCAGTCATCAGGGCCAGATTATTTATCTCGTGCCAGTGGGGAGAGTGTTTCAGAGTTACCTTGGTATTTCTCTTTTTCTGATCCTGACCTGTTTATGGTGGTTTATGGAACTGCCTTCTGTGACAACCTGAATTTCCCTTTGGAACCTGTTCGGTCTTCTAATCTCCTGGTTTGTAATCCTAAACACATCCTTGAGCTCGACTGTGGCTTCGCCCTCTGGATTATTCTGCCTTCCTTCATCTGCCCTGATCTGGTCTCCTTCTTGTTGTCTGTCCTCAGGGGCTGCAGCGTCTGGGACACTCTACGGCGCTCGGTGTATCTTGTTGGCAGCCCATCAGCTGGATCCTACCTCATGCTCTGGGCACAGACTGAACCATAAAACCAGGTTAGTGAGTCATGCTTTCATAACCATCCTCCTGCAGAGGTTCCTGCCTTAGGCATCCTTGCCTTGGCACTATTGTTTTCATTACCTTCTTAAAATTGTGCTTCAGATAATTAAAGCAATTCTTATTTTAAAAGGGGTCCAACCAGGTATTAATAAGAAGTATCTAAATAAAGTAGCCATGGAGTATGTCTTTGTATCGTCTCAGTACTGCTTTATTAACCATATTACATCTTTACTAAACTAGGATTAGAGTAGCCTTTAAGATCTCTTGGGTAATCCCCTTCACGCCCCATACTCAAATCATATCATTGGACATTATGTTCAATTTTCTACACATCTCAGGTTATTGATTTATTTGATCTTTTTTTCTTCCAAAGCTCCAGGCACTTTTAATACAGAGAAACCGCAGTCTCTTGAGACTTCATCTGTTTTGTCCTTGGTGCTAGTTAGTCATCTCTTTTATCCGACTGTGAAGCAGAACAGAGGCAGAAAGGAAACAGATCGAAGCACAGGCGTACATGCCTGGTATTTACTATCACTGGAAAAAAATATAGGGTGCTTATTTCTCATTGCTTGCTATACAACATGGGACAAATCCATGAAACACCTCTTCAGTTCCACCTGTTACGGAGTCAGATCCCCTTACCACACTGAATCCTTTATGTGTGGGTGCTATGACAACATCATCAACAATATAGCCTACAACAATAATAGCTGCTAAAACTTAACAGAGAATCACCTGCAATGACATCTTGTTTAGAGATTTTTTTCTGATTCTTAGACCTCGGAGAACACATTCTTTGGGGACCAAAATGTGAACATGAATAAACCCCTCAATCTCTTTTCTTTCTTAAGGGTTCAAATCTAGCTACCATATTTGCCTGGACCTATAAAAATGCTAATTAGCACAAGCTATGCCTCTGCAGATGTGAGTAAGCCATGTGAGATGCTTCATCTAGGGAGATATGTAGCTCTAGTCCTCACTGTGTGTTTGTCCTTTAGAGGAGCAGAAAAAAACACTGCTCAGAATTAAAAGATTAATTGCTTCTCTTTGTGCATGTCTTCTTAAATGCACTAAACAATAAATACATGTGTAAACATTAGCTTGATCTCTCATCAAAACCATTTTATTCTCACAATATATTAAGCCTTGAAGTAGAAAGTATTTTTAAGTGCTTACTTTATCATTATGCGCTAAAGATCATCCTTTTCCATTTCATTTTACAGTAGTTGTAAGTTTTTTATGTCATAGGTTAAGTGTCCTAAAATAAATCTAATGAGATACATTTAAAAGTGTAACAAAATGCAACAAAGAAACGCTTTCTGAGTGATCTTGAGATGGAAATCACAATGGAAATCCAATTTTATAGCAGCTATGAACCACACTTTTTTTATATCAATTTCCTGAAATCACGGAAGCGTGAATAAATTAAAAATCTTCAATGCATTATCGCTTACATTCAAGGTATTTTATACCTCCAGGTATAACTTTCTGGGAAAATGAAAACGAATTGCAATGGTTTTATCAAACAGCAACAAACTTGTTCATATAAAAAAAACTATATCAAACATATTTTGGAGTGATCTGTCAGGGTTCATCTATAAATGTTACACGAGCTAATGCATCTCTTAGTTTTACAGGGTCGATTAAAACAAAGAAAACATACAAATTATGATTGATTTCTGTAGTATGTGGTACACAAAGTCATTTCAGAAAGGTAGGATTTACATGATTCAGCTGCATAGAATGTATGAACTTTTGGAGATTTGACACAACTAACTAAGAAATAAATTATACTTATGATTCATTCTTTAGAATTTCTAAAAGTATGTATATATACATATATATATATATATATATATATATATATATATATATATATATATATATATATATATATATATATATATATATATATATATATATATACACACAAAACACAAATTTAAACCAGAACTGGTTTATTTGGTCATTCAAGCATATTCTTTTTTTTTCCCGTTAGAATAAGTGCAACATAAAACAAACAAAAACATTTTTTTTTACAACTGTGAGGTAAATCAGAAGCTTACAATATATCAGTTTCATCGGCTGTCTGATCCTTCGTGAGGGAAAAATATCTGCAAATGCATGTTTATCATTTCACAGCTTTACAATATTTAATATACTTTTAAATACTCTTGGATACATAAGTGCGCTCAATGACAAACATTCTTTTAACTGCATAATATTTCACAACAAAGAGAAACATGCCAGGGATACAAAACACGAGAAAACAAGAAAATATTGTTGAGTTCAAAAAGACTTCTGCAAGCCTTCAACCCTGAACTCATCTTAACTTAGCACTTCCCCTTAAACCTGATTCTTTTACTTGGAATACAGTAGTGTTCTGAGTCATATGTGATTACTTCTTTACGCAGTTACAAAACAGTACCAAGAATATTTAATTGTTTTGCACAACTGTCCGCAGAGTTAGCGTACAAATATTGCTGAATTTAACAATTATCTCGACACGAGAAAACAGCATCTGCATGCAAAATACAAAACAAACAACCTGCTCCACGATAAACTACACTTTTAATATCTGGCAGCTGGTATTAAACATAGCAGCATACATATGCTAATATGCTAATGAAGAGAAGAATCAAACGCCTGAATATAACAGCTACACTTGAAGATGGTTTTGGTATGTGTTTGTGTCGATAACTTATTAATGAGTCACATGGGATAACATTCACCTCAGCTTAGGAGAGACACCAATATACAGTAAAGCTTTTCTTGAGTAGCATACCTTGCAGTCTTGATTTATTCAGTTGCTTCCAATCTTTTGAAAAAAAAAAAACCTTGGTATAGGAAATATTTTTTTTCTGTTTTTTTTGTTTTGTTTTTGCAGCTCGCTAAAAGATTAGAAAACTTTAAATTATCAAACTGCAAAAACATGAATATAAATATATCTGGAGATTGAAGGCATAGATAGGTTGATTAAATCTGCAAAAAAAAAAAAAAAAAAACTTTTTATTAGAACATAGACAGCAAACACTGTCTAAGTATGTATTATTAAATGGTTGTATGAATGAGGAATATTATGTGATCAGGTACGCTAAATTTTCCCCAAGAATCTAGTGTTAAATTGATGATGAATGTGCAGTATTTGTATATTGTTACAAAGTCTGTTGTGTAAGGCAAGCTGCTCTTAATCCACTCGAGCTGTTCATCAAGTCGGATGCTGATAAGGAGAATTTAGGGCCACTGTTGGCTCTCTGGGCTCTACTCGTCTTGGCCTGTTGATCATTTCACATTCGTTCTGTCGCATGTTTTCTTCGTTCATATGTGATACCTCTGTGGAGCCTGCCTCAAACCCAGGCCCTGTGTTAGCCACGTTGACCACATGAACTTTATTTCTGCCTTTCTTAATGAGGATGCAGCTGAAGACTTTCTTGAATCCTTTGCGAAAGTGTTTGGACACAAGAGCGTACACAATAGGATTAACACAAGAGTTAGCATAGGCCATGCAGTGAGAGAGTAGTCTGAAGGCATAAGTGGTCTGATTGAAAGGGAAGTCTCCATACAGATAGCATAATATCACCACGTGATAGGGCAGCCAGCATATGCAGAAGAGCACAGTGACAATAATGATCATCTTGGTGACTTTACGTTTGGCTCTCTTAGATTCGGACATACCATCCAGAGGGTCAACGGCCGTCCACAAGTACTTGATGGTTCTGGTGTAGGAGAGGCTCACAACCAGCACAGGAATAACGTAGCCAAACAGGAAAGTGCAGGTGTCCAGAACCTTACGGTTTTGCTCTTCCCAGCCTGGGATACACACAGTACTGTTGGCAAAGTCAATCAGGTCATAGTAGCTGAGATATGGCCCTGCGAATACCAGCGAAAGACCCCAGATAACCACCATGGCAACCACTGCATTACAAGGGGTTCTCAACTCTCTGGAGCGCAGAGGGTACCGAATGGCCAGATATCTGAAAAGATAAAAACAACTGATTTAGTGCGTGGCTCTCACCACTGGCACAAGATAACTGCCACATTTATGGACAAATTGTAATTATTTACTTTGGTAATCCTTAAGTATGGGAGCACCCAAAATTAATTAACAGCAAATGTTTCTCTTTGTTTGAATTGACCCTTAATTCTCGGTACCATCAGACAATAATAACTAAAGTATATACAAAATGCAGTGAAAAATCTATTTTGGAATGTTAAGACTGAAATCAATAGCCATATTCAAACCCAAATTCTGCTGAATAATAAAAAATAAAAACTTACTTATGAGCCTGTCCAACCGCATAAAATATGATACTGAACCACAAAATTACCTGAGGCAAACAAATCTTGAAAAACTGTTGAAAACCAGGTAATTTACATATTTTATTCTTCAAAGGGTTTAAAAGTTAATTCTAAGACTTTTAGACTCCAGCAAACCAGAGTGACACAATGTTAAAATTATAGAAAACAGTAACAGTAACATTATTCAAGAGAGAATCAATGAAACCTCGAGGAGATCATAAAATATCTCTCAACAACATTTAAGGCACACCTTCCCCAGATAAGGTACATTTTTCTTTAAATAATTTTGCGAGATATTACAAAAACTGTGTCCAAGTGAGTGCTCCATGGCAAAAAAAAAAAAAGTGGTAAATGACATAAAGTGAAATTGAAAATCCTCAACAAACACATATATTTTTTACATCAAATTTGCCTAAAATGTCCTAATGGATCCCAAATATTAAAATTTTGAATAATGATAAAATCTTTTAGAAAGTCCATCCTGTTGTATACCATTTAAAAATAACTAGACCATTTTAGTTAAGGTACATAAAAAAAAAACTGTCAAACATTTTAGGGGTAGCCTATTATGATAGTTTTGGACTGCTTTGCTTCTTATCCACCTTGATGTCCCACCACAAATCTTGGAATATTAAAATCTGCCCTCTAACATAAAATCATGAAGACAGAACTTGACTTACAGCCAGCAGGACAATGATAACAATACCATCAGCAATACCCTAAAAAGTAAAAATATTCAAAATTTGGACATACAGTAGTTCTGACATAAATCAGATTTATACGCTGTGGAATAACCTTAAACAATATAAATACTGAAAAACCTTCCATGTGGCCGATTTAATCAGATCAGCTAACTAGAGAGGGCCAAAATTTCCCCCACAGCAATGTAAAGCATATATTGCCAGGCATTTATGATGGGTGATATTGTCAATATATCAAGTTTCTGGCCTGTTTTGCCAGTACCTTTCAGCAGCCACAACTTGTATTGTGGTTTGACCTACATCTACCTTGTCTGTACCCCAGTAATGCATCAATAACTCCCTCTGTTGTTTATACTGCTCTCTGGCTGAAAAACGTTCCAGATTATTGAAAGCCTTAGAGAGTATATGTTCAGCATCTTTTACAACCTACGTGATCCAATCATGTTTCTGCCCTCTAGATTTTCCTGTTCTTCCAGCAGAAATAGAATGTTCTCCCACTTTCTGATTCGTTAGTATTGACCATTTTTCTGCCTTCTGCTTCCTTCCAATCCCCTCGATCTGTCAGCCTAAATCAGCATTATTTTGCCACCTATTTCTCCTTCCACAGCTTTGGCCAAGTTTCTGTGCCCTGATCACAAATTCCTGCCGACCTCCTGGGTTTGTAACCTTAAAGTTTTATTCCTTTGTGTTCTGATATATATATATATATATATATATATATATATATATATATATATATATATATATATATATATATATATATATATATA